ATGTGAACTGTTCAGCCATTTCCAAAAAATATAGGACGTTTGCTATCATAGTTTAGGACCAAAAAGAACGGTCATGGGAAGGACTTCAACAGTTTGCCCTAACACAGGGTTAGATGGTCTGCTTTTTACACTGCTCCACACTGTGGCAATACAAAGCTGCACTGCTCCAGGGCAAGTTCTGGAAGAGATTGTGCCTGCGATCCCTTGAGGAGCTGCAGGGAGCAAAGGAAGGATCTGCATACTAAACCATCCTTCTGTATAGTGCAGCATGCTCCCCACAGCAGGCCAGTTTTGCTGGCCTATGAGTAGGAGGGCAGGGTCTTGGTTCTAAATTTTCCCCAGCCTGTGCAGGGTCAATTGTGCCTCTCCAAGGCCACTAAGAAGGAGCGATCCCCTTGCTTGTGCAGTTACTTTGATGGGGCAAAGACAGAAAGTCTGGTTTTGCTCTTTTCCACTCCCTCCACCACTATACATACACATATCTCCACTAGCATCTAGCATGACCTTCCTCACAATATTATTTAAATACAAAGTGCACGACAGGCTGTAACTTTTATACCAACCCCCCCATATAGCGATTTAAAATTCAAAATGGGTATTAAACATGCAAAACACATCCTAGATCCTTTTAGTTAATTATTTGGCTTGAACACCTTGAACTTTGGGAGACGAAGAGTCAAAATCAGAAAAGATGGATCCATAGCAGTGTCTCAGGTATGCCTTTTTAAAAGGGCACAAGGCGGTCTAGATCTGGCTCTGAAGTTTGTACCCATCTCTTTTTTCTGCTTTTTCCCTTTCTGCCAGTTTTACTTTGTTACACGTCTCAATCAGTTATACCAAATATGTAGCCTTTTTTTTTTAAAAGACTCATCATCCCAAGAGGTTCAAATGTGCCAAGGTAAAGATTTTTTTAGTGTGCATTTATTGACAATAACGCATGCCAAACATTCTGAGGGACTCTGTCATGAAATCCCTGTCCATATGCAGCAGAAGATATAGTACAATACATTTTAAGTGTTCAGTAAAATAAAAAATGGCAAAACACCTCTTTGCATCCCTATGAAATAGCCCATTATATTTTACTTAGGTTCCACAGCCCCATATTAGTATTGTGTACATGTCTATGACAACTAGGACTTAAGTTTCAAAAACCCTCCAACAATTTTCTCTTCTTTGTACTACTAAACTTTTTTATGAACGTGTCAACAGATTTAAAACTTAAAGTGGTTAACTGTTTAATTTAAATATTCCATTATTAGCACATTGTTCACGATTTTTTTTAGCCATTATGTGCATCTTCGTATCATCCTATAGAAGACTGTAGATTTTTGAGCGGTGGGTAATATTTGTGTTGTTAAGTAAATGTAACACTTCAGAGTGACCTAGCTTTCTAGGTTACATTTTATTTTAAAAATGTTTCTTTCTTAAAATTCATATTTTGTAGGGCTGTCGATTAATTTCAGTTAATTCACGCGATTAATTCAAAAAAATTAATCGTGATTACAAAAATTAATCATGATTAATTGCACTGTTATACGATAGAATACCAATTGAAATGTATTAAATATTTTTGGATGTTTTCTACATTTTCAAATATATTGATTTCTGTTACAACACAGAATACAAAGTGTACAGTGCTCACTTTATATTATTATTTTTGATTACAAATATTTGCACTGTAAAAATGAGAAAAGAAATTGTATTTTTCAAGTCACCTCATACAAGCACTGTAGTGCAATCTCTTTATCGTGAAAGCGTAACTTACAAATGTTGATTATTTTTGATACATAACTGCACTCAGAAACAAAACAATGTCAAACTTTAGAGCCTATAAGTCCACTCAGTCCTACTTCTTGTTCAGCCGATTGCTAAGATAAACAAGTTTGAACATTTATGAGATATACCGGTGCCTGCTTCTTATTTACAGTCTCACCTGAAAGTGAGAACAGGTGTTCATAGGGTTGTATGTCTCCTGTTCTGTTCTACCTGCATTCTGCCATATATTTCATGTTATAGCAGTCTTGGATGATGACCCAGCACATGTTTGTTTTAAGAACACTTTCACATCTGACAAAATGCAAAGAAGGTACCAATGTGAAATTTCTAAAGATAGCTACAGCACCCGACCCAAGGTTTAAGAATCTGAAGTGCCGTCCAAAATCTGAGAGGGACGAGGTGTGGAGCATGCTTTCAAAAGTCTTAAAAGAGCAACACTCAGATATGGAAACTATAGAACCCGAACCACCAAAAAACAAAATCAACCTTCTGCTGGTGGCATCTGATGAAAATGAGTATGTGTCGGTCTGTTCTGCTTTGGATCATTATCAAGCAGAACACATCATCAGCATGGACTCATGTCCTCTGGCATAGGTGCTGACTCCGTGGGTGCTCCGAGCCTGGAGCACCCATGGGGAAAAATTGGTGGGTGCTCAGCACTCACTGGCAGCTCCCCGCCCGCCCAGCTCACCTCTGCCTCCGCTCCGCCCCTGAGCATGCCGCGTGCCCGCTTCTTCCCCCTAACTCCTAGCGCTTGCGCTGCGAAACAGCTGTTTACGCGGCTGGGAGGGAGCGGGGAGGAGGGGGAAATGCAGCGTGATCGGGGAAGAGGCAGGGCTGGGGCGGGGATTTGGGGAAGGGGTTCAATGGGGCAGGGAGGGGGCGGAGTTGGGGCAGGGACCTTGGGGAAGGGGTTGGAATGGGGGCAGGGCGGAGGCGGGGAAAGGGTGGAGTTGGGGCGGGGCCGTGGGTGTGAGCACCCACCCGCGCCGGGGAAAGTTGGTGCCTATGTTCTCTGGAATAGTGGTTGAAGCAGGAAGGCACATCTTAATCTTTAACACATGTGGCACATAAATGTTTTGTGACGCCAGCTACAACAGTGCCATGCTAACGCCTGTTCTCACTTTCAGGTGACATTGTAAACAAGAAGCGGGCAGCATTGTCTCCTGCAAATTGTAACCAAACTTGTTCGTCTGAAGTAGGACTCAAAGGACTTGTAGGCTCTAAAGTTATACATTGTTTTATTCTTGAATGCAGTTTTTTGTACATAATTCTACATATGTAAGTTCAACTTTCATAATAAAGACATTGCAGTACAGTACTTGTATTAGGTGAATTGAAAAATATTATTTCTTTTGTTTTTTAGAGTGTAAATATTTGTAATCAAAAATAGATATAAAGTGAGCACTGTACACTTTATATTCTGTATTGTAATTGAAATTAATATATTTGAAAATGTAGAAAACGTCAAAAAATATTTAAATAAATGTTATTCTATTATTGTTTAACAGCACAATTAATCACAATTTTTTTTAATTGCTTGACAGACTTACTATTTTGTTTATAGATTAACATAATTATCCAAAATTTGTTTTCAAGCAATGCATTTAAATATTTAAAAATAATGTGATTTACCAGCTAAACTTAACTCTTTTCAAACAGAAAGTAATAAAGGGTGTATAACAGCTAGATTGTGAAAATCCAATGTTGCTGGGCACATTTCCAGTTATAAATCAAAGCCAAAACAAGGGGAATTTTGAAGAGGAAAGGAAAGAATGTATAGGTCAAAGTGGAAAAAAGTCCCAGTCATGAGAAAATATTTCTAGTTAACCTAAAACAGTTTTCATATTTAAATGATAATGAGTCTAAAACCAGAAAGCATAAAAGATTCTTTATTCAAGAAAAAAGAATAGAATATTTCTCTTATTTCTTTCAGTATTTAGGAGTGAGATAAATATTGACTTTTATGTGGGTGCTGTGTTAAGGAGGGGGAATGGCAAGGAGTATAAAATGTTGAATATAAAGTTTTACTCGTGAATACTGAATTATTGATGAATTCCAACCATAGCACAGACATTTAATTTCTTAAGGGAAAAGCATAATAGATGAACAAAGAGAAAAGCATACTTGCTAAATAATTTTAATTAACATTAATTTCCCTTTTATTAAAAGTCCAGAAGTCACCATGATAAAATACTATTTCTGATAATGAGTCAAATTATTCTGACAATGACCTAGATTATCATCCCCAGGGAGCATTAAGAAAATAAAGGAATTAAGGAAGTATAATGCATGTCTCTCTTCTCTTGTTTATCTCCTTTTCATTCCCCTCAGACACTTTGTATCCACTCCCAATTACCATCAAACCACTTTTTGACAGCTCTGACCATGATAACTGGGGATTGGCACACTCTGGAACTAACTCAGTCCTTCTGGCAAAAGATGTTAGAGCAAGATGACTGGGAGCTTAGTTTCAAAGACTGAGTCACTTCCCCAGCGCACACAGCATTCCAGACGCTGTGATTGAAAAAAGAATCTGATTTTGTATCTATAAGCTAGCAACAAGACAATCTGTTTAAGCATCCTTGAGTTTGTATAGCTATTCATTTTAGTCTCACAAGCAAGCACAAGCCGATATCCAATAGCTCAGTGGGACTTCAAGAGCATTTCCTTGGCATACGGTGCATGAACAAAAGATATCAGACAATACCACCACAGCACTTTGTTTTATTGTTAATAGGTACTGGGGCTATCCTAACTTCGTGCAAACAGAAATAGCACAAATGTGTATTGTTAAAACGGCACTAACACCACCACACTATAAAAATCTAGATTTTCAGAAGTCAGATTTTTATTATCAAAACTGACATATTTTAAGATTAAGATGACCAATCTGAAGTATCATTTCCATGAAACGAATAAAATACATCTGGGTCTAAGGAGCTCAAATATAAATCTGTCATTTGGCAGGATCCAGTAGATTCTTGACTTTGCTTGTGCTCTGAGAGAGAGAGAGATTGTTATTCATATTAAATAGCCCTGTCAACATGTGTTAAGAATTATACAACCAATGGATCTTAACACAGGAAGAAAACTACTTTCTGAAATACTCCTCTTGGATGTGGCATAAAGAGTTACATGGAAAGATATAATCTCAGTGCAAAACTTTACACAGGGAAAACAAACAAATCTTTAAAGCAGAAGCATTCCAAAGCTGTTCTTACCTTAAAATTGTGTGCTTTTTCATAGTTGAAATGGTTGTCGTTTTGAGTTAAAGCTGCTCTTCTGACCAAAGAGGTAATCTGTGAATAGGCAAAGAGTTTCAGAGGTTGCCATAATAGTGCCCCCTTTACTCCCGCCTTAACCCCCAATGCCACTGCCAGCAGCTCTTGACGTTTCCTTCCTCGCTTAGACTTGTGAACAACAGCACAATTTTTCTCATTTTCAAGCCACAGATCCTCAGAGAACATAATGCTTGGATCCCAGATCTTTTCCCTGTCTTCCTCTGAGGCTGGGAGGCTTACTGTACTCAGGTTTGTCCAACTGCTTCTAATGTTAGACAGCAGATTTGAAGCAGCTGCAGCCCATTCTGCGGAGACCTCTGGCATGTGACTTGAATGGGCCGTCTTGTGTGATGGAAGGAGCTTCTGCATCTGAATAAGTAACGGCCTGTTTTGTGCTATTTCTTAAGGCAGACGTGTGCCTGAAACAATAGTCGGAATTCATGTACTGAACAAAACTCCCCCTTCCCCCAAGCAATGGTATCCAGCGAGAGACTGAAGAAATACAGGCAGGGAGACAGCTTTACGGCCTCATGCCACAACAAATTTCAAAGGAAAGATCACTTCTAGTTGGTAGCATGTTTAAAAAAAAATGGCTCTGATGCTGCATCCAATTACACTCAGACCTGGAGACTTATGAGCCATTCTGATCTGAACACCAATGGATTAAACCCTTTAAACCCTGATGATTGTTTAATCTTGCAGGGCTAAAATCTCTTTTTTCATATCCTGTGCAAGTGAAAAACCTAGTAGTACTCCAAAGATTAATAGCATTTCTGTGGCATGCATTTTGTTGGGGTCCACTTAGCAGTGAGCAATTAGATCACATTCAGTAAAAATTGGAAACTAAGTCCCCAGCCATTCAATCTGATCACAAGGGGAGACCTTTAGCCTGTACAGAGGCTCATGGAAGACAACGGAGCTCTGCAGAGATGCAAGGGGTGCATCCTGCACAGATCGGATTGCAGGTCTAGGGCCTAAGTGGCACCAGTCCAGCTGTTCCCCCACTCTAGTTTCTGTAGTATATATGTTTGGGAGAAAGGATAACATGTGGTTAAAGCCCAGTTCAGGGAATCTAATCCCATCTCTGCCACAGCCTTCTGAATGACCTTGGGCAGGTCACAATCTTTTCATTTCTGTTTCTCTATCAGTACAATGAGGATAATAGTTACCCACCTCACAGGGATATTGTGAGGCTTCATTCTCCAGTGTCTGTAACATGCTTGACATGCTCAGAGGGAAGGTACTACAGAGGTGGACAATATTACCAGGAGAATTGCTTCAGAAACTGACCAGTAATAGTCAGGGCCGGATTAACCTTTTCTGGGCCCCATGCGGGCAGTGGACCATGGCGCGGGGTGGGGGGGGAGAGGGGGGGTCAGTCCCCAGAGCAAGGGGCCAGACAGGGGCAATGGGGCATAGCAGGGGCGGCCCCGCTCCGCCCAGCCCAGTGCGAGGGCACTATTTACAAACTGGCAGTTGCCAGATGCACAATGGCCTGCCCGGCCTTTTGCTGCCAACTTAACTCTTCCCCTCGGGGGGCGGGCCCCTGCTGTGCCACACAGCCTCCCAACTCCCCCCATACTCCCTATGCCCAGCGCCCCCCCAGGCCCTTCCACACAAATGCCCAGCACACCCCACAGAACCCCCACTCCCTAGGGCCCCAGCACATAGATCTTCCCCACCCCCTCCCAGCTCAGCAACGCCCCCCCCCAAACCCCCAAGAGACCCACTCCCCCTGGCCCTGCCTCCTGGCCGCACGCACTGGCCCTGCTGGGAAGTAACTGTGTCTGCAAGGTTGAGCTGGCAGCGCAGCCGGGGCTGGTCCCAGGGCCAGAATTTGCTCCGATCCCTTGGGAGTGGTGTGATCAGCCAGGCCAGGCCTGCCCCGGCCGGGCTCCCTCAAGACACACTCGGGGCCCAGCCAAACTCCCCCCACTGTCCCCTTTCTCCCCCCCCGCCCGAGTCGCCCTGCCACCCTTTGTTTCTGCCTTTATGCCCATTCTTTTCCACACTTGAACCCAAAGACAATAGCAAATTAAATGATCTAAACAGACTTACTTTTGTTAATTTGTGAAGTCGTTTCTTCCTTTGGCTCTACCCACACCCCAATCCCTTAGACATCCTAGGGGGTTCATCTAATTTACTGACTTAAAACAATACCACCACATAGTTTACATGCTCTCAGTAAAAATTATGCTCTCCTGATATGAAAGCCCGCAGGGACAGATGGCCAACCATCAGTAAGATCAGACTGTGTAATTTCATATAGTGCCCTACTTAGGGCATTTAACAAGGTCTGTAACCTGCAAAATCAGCTTTTCAAACGTGACATGACGTAGTTGTTTCTATCCTGAATGTACTTCTCTTCCCTTTCTTTTCCACGTAATTGGCAGCATAACTCTCTCTCTCTCCCCCCTATCTGATTTAGAAGCCTTGGTAGTTAGTTACTGTTTCCACTGAGACTCCTCTTGCTAAATAAGCAGTTGCCACTCTCACCCTCTTTTCCAACTGAAAGCACAACTGAGTGGCACTGTTAACTGATCAGCAGGCAGTTCTAAACATGCTGCATTGATATTGCTCAGCCCGGAGGTGTTGTCTGGTGCTATTCTGTGCATCCTTCAATTAATATATCCTGTTCACTGCCAGATCAGAAATCAGAGCTTTGAACCCAAAAAAATCTTCTCCAGTGGATGGGCTCTTAATTAGACATTTAGTGTTTTAGGACAGGACGTACAATTTGATGCATGTATCTAGCCTCAGCAAACATTAGGGGCTTAGATCCAGAGGAATGTTATACCTGTCCCAAATATCTTCAGCATCTACTTCAGGGAATCACGTTAACACTTGTTTAAGACCTGTTCTTGCTCCCATTCAATGAGGATAACAGTGATCTCCTCAGAGGGATAGATTTCAATGGGAGCAGGATAAGGCCCTTAGGAAAGAAAACTTAGGGCATCAACACATCACTTTAAGGCTTTTGTCCTAAACACTCAGCATGTTATATTTCAGGACTTCAGCTTCAAATGAGTTCAGATTTATCTGTTACATTGACAGAGAAAATCATAATCCAGTAACTAACTTTGGACATTTTTTTTAAAACACTTACGTAGCTATGAACCCTCAACGTAAACATTAAATAGTACCTCTCTGATATCCAGCGTGACTGAATCAAGGTCAGAGAGGTCAGCTTCCTCATAATGCTTTAGCATTTGCATTGATGCCACTGGACTGATAAAAATCCCATTATATAAGCTATATTTTTACATAACATTGTGAATGTGACACTCAAACAACAGGATTATGATGATATAGTGTACATCTTAAAATATCTACATATTAGAATACATTACTTTTAAAATATTACATGTCATCTTAAGGACAGACATAGTACCTAATGGAAATACGGGCGTTTCTCATAGGATTGTTTAAACTAATTGACTTAAAGAAGGAAAACCAAGCTAATCCAATTCATATGTATGTCTAGGGCAGATCAGTATTTGTTGTTTATTGTATTTGAAATCGTATTCATCCACTAGGTTGCTTTTATCACCATGCTGATGTCTTTGTCAGGTATTTGTTTAATAGGATTCACTACAAACACAGGATGTATAATGGGCAGGTGCACAGTAAATGCATTCTCTTAACAGGCTTGATCATATGAAGCCACACTAGATTCAATGTCTAACAAAGGATGCTGAAAACTGATCTGATTCAGGGCACAATACTATAGGACACAAATTTCCCCCTCCCCCCTACTTAAAGGACAAATAGCAGCAAAATCGAACAAGTTGAACTGTTCTCAAAATAATGAACCTTGATGCTCCGTTCCTTCCCCATGCCCCAGTGCAGTCCAAGAGTTCAAAAGCACTTCATTTTATTCATTCCTCCCTCCCCCTTCCTTTTTAAAAGATCTATTGTACAGGACATTGTGCCAATTAACTTAAAGAACATTTCTTGCTAAGGCTGACGTACCTCTGGCTAACATGGAGGCTCCTGGTGTCTGAAAATATGTTGCTAGTTTTAACAAAATATTTACATTGATAACGATCAAAAACCAAATGTAAGATGTAGAGAGGATCAGGGGATCTCCATGGAATGTAGGATTTTAGCTGCTTAGTCGCTCAGTAAGCCATGTGCATTGTACAGTAAGTTGGGCATTTACAGTACAGTAAATATCACTAAACCAGAATTAGATAGTAAGGGAAGGGAAAGCGTTGTTTAGCTGTGGCAGCATTTTCAGCATGCCTTTTTAGAATGAGATTATTGAATGATTTGAACAGAATCCTCCACAAAGCATGACTAATTTTGTTTGCTAACAAAAGGACTTGGGGGCTAGGAAAGAATAAATATTTATAGAAAAATCTTCAGTTTTTGTTGTTGTTGTTGTTGTTGTTGCATCAATTCGATTTTAGCTGTGTGGGCAGCTCTTAAGAGTTGCTGAATGTAAAGGCCAGGCTGTGGCTCATCCTGCATGCCTGTGCAGGGGAATAAAGGAGCAAAAAATGCCTTGCTAGCCCCCTGCACCAGATAGCCATACTGTGGGTAGATGCATGGGAGGGAGAACAGCCCCCATGGGTCTGCTGCATCTCCCTCTACAGCCCCCATGCAAGTGTATGGGATGGGCGGGCAGGCAGGGGTGGGTAAGTGGGGGAGCCCTGGCTCCACCTGCTCATCTGCCGAGGGGCATACTTTGGTTCAGCTATAAGGTCGGTGCAGGCCTTGGAGGAGGAGATGAACCAGAAGGCTGATCATGCCTCTCTGAGTCACAGTCTGTTTTTCTGGGCCGCTCCTGGGGCGGCGCAACCATGCCCAGGTGTTGTGGCAAATCTACAACAGAGCCCTTAATAAACAAAGTGCTGCCTGTTTCCTCGCTGGTGTGATATGCTCCACAGTACGCAGGATGGTACATTCTTGCCTGAGTCAAAAAGACAATTTGGAGATGACACACAGTGTGTTAATCTTGCAAACTGTATTGACTTTTTTTTTCTAATTTCCTCCTTAAGAGTTCTGCCTCTGAC